CTCACATCCAACCCCCAGATGTACAGTAATTGAGAACAAGGCCTATTTTATTTTTGTATACTCAGCACCTAAGAATGCATTGCACACAGTAGTTAAGTAATCAAGTGATTAACTGAACTTTTCATTATTCAATTGTATATAATAACTTGTAGAAACTCAGGAGTCTTTTTTTTTTTAACTAGGAGAAAAAAAAATGACTGACATGAAAAGTGGGCCAGTCATGTAGCAAAAGAAATACAACAATGACACATTCAATTCAATAGCTTTTCATCCTCAGGAAAAGTTACAGAAAGACATAAATAAAAATTGTACATGAGAAGGCAAGGATGGACTCCTGTTTGGTTGGAAGGAGAATACAGAGATAAGATGAACTAAATATTCAAAGAAATAAATCAGTAACTTTAAAGAGATAAAAGAAGCTCCCCAAAAGAATGAATCAGCCAAAATCTAAAAATTGCAATTTCCTCCATATACAACAGCTGACAAGACAGAAAATTATAGTAAGCGGTCTTTAAATTTTTTTAAAAACTATATCTTTTGTTTTTTACATCACCTACATTTCTCAATAGGGTTGTCCCTCATAACAAATAGGAGAAAAAAAAAGACTTCAGCAAAACTAAACAACACTTTGACAGAGGCTAAGCTATGCAATGTTCCAAATACATAGTCCCATACATTTGCAAAGAGAGAAAGGTGCCCTTCCCATCTACTCTTAGGGGTGAACTGAGTCCAGCCATCATGGTTTCACAGCATTCAATTTGTTTTTGTTATTCTTTCCAATTCCATTGTTGTCACTGGACCTTTTTTTCTTCATCAGATGGAGTCACTGGGCTTGGGGCTCCAGCTCGAGTTTCTCCCTTCTCCAATCTATCCTGCACACAGCTGTCAAAATAACTCCTGAAGCACAGGTCTGATGATGTCACTTCCCTGCTCAAAAAGCTCCAGTGCCTCCTTACTGCTAGCAGGACAAAAACAACAAATTCCTCTCTGGATTTCAATCGGACACCAGCCTGCTTTTCCAGGTGTGTAACATGTGACTTCCTTTCATGCACAGTCTAGTCAGAGTGGCCTATTGACTGTTCCCTGTGCACGCCTTTCTATCTCCTGCTTCCACGCCTTTGCTCGGGCTGTCATCCCATCCCTGGAATACAATCCTTCCTCACCTTAGAATCCCTAGCTCCTTTCTAGCTTTGCCTTTCCTCACATGCCATTACTTTACATATATTTTGCATTTACTTATGTGGGAACACCTTGTTGTCCCTGACAGAATGTTCTCTCTTTTTGGGCAGGGACTATTTCATTTTTGTTTTAGTAATCCCAGGTCTTAGGCATAGCAGACACAGTGTTTGTTGACTGATTTTTCCACTAATGTTCTACTCTCATGCTTTGTAGTGCTTCGTTCTCTAGGTTCTCAAAGACTCTGTTTCCTACCATGCTGGCAAGTCTACAAGTTTGATCTCAGTAATTGGCCCGGAGGTCCACTTTTCATAACTGGACTAAGTAGTTAAGCTCTAAGAGGCTCCAGCACCATATAGGTGACTCTTTTCCTTTAAGTAATTCATGAAGTCATACTGTGACCTGGGTTCATGACAGAAAAACTCACCCAATGCTATTATGGATCCTTCAAGTATGTTTATCAATGTGAACTACAATTCAAATTTATATGGAACTATAAATTTATGCCTGCCATTCTCTTCACAACAACTTTCATGAGGTAGGTAGTAAAAATCCATTTTACATAGGCTCAGAGAGGTTAAAGTAACTTGTTCAGTTCACAAAGCTAACTAACTAGAAACAGGATTTTAACTCAAGATATCTTTGTATATCTAGCAGGCATTTCAAACTCAGTCTGCCCCAAACTGAACTTGAAGTCTTTCCCTGAAACCGATCCCCCTCCCCAACTTCCCTGTTTGTTTTTCTAGAGCACCATTTTTCAGTCATTTAGGTTCCTAACCTTGGCCTTACCCTAGACTCTTCACTTCCCTCATCTGAAGTGTCTGCAGGGCTAAGTCTTGCCCATTCTACCTCCACGGCTGACAACTGTACCATTCTCTCTCTTCACACAGCTACTCACATTTCACACTATTTCTAGCATGTGGCTTCTCTCTTGAACTACTGAAAAGTCCTGATTGGTTTCCCTGTCTCATTTCTCCCTTTTCCAATACATTCTCCATGTAGTTGCCAATATAATTTTCCTCAAGTCCAAACCTGACCATGTCACTACTCAAACTCCAATGGCTCCCGAATAAAATATAAGTTACTGTTTAGCTTTCAAATACCTAATACCTTCACAACCTGGCCTCAACCTACCTTTCCAACCATATCATACATCATTTCACTTCCCAAACTCTCCCATCTCTTTCATCTTTGTATTGGCTTTACCATTCCTACCTCACCTCTACCTCTTCGGATCCCTTGTTTCCTACTGAGCTATACCTATTACACCAAGTCTTTCCTAATCTTCTCACCCTTCTACCATTCCCCTCTCTCGTCCCCCATTTTGCTTTGTGTATATCTATTTATATATATTCCTCCAGATAAAACTTAACCTCCTAGAGGAGAGATGCTGTTATTAGTTCTCTGTATTCTCCAGTGGACAGCTAAGTGTCTAGATTCCAGAGGTTCTCAAACTTATTTGGCCTACTGGTGCCTTTAAAAAAAAATTACTCAGCATTCCCCTGAAAATCTTTCTTTAACCCTTTAAGTTTTTAAAATGTGCATCATTTCAAAAAATATATAGAATTTTTAAAAAGATGCATCTTAAATTTAATGATTTATTGCAAATTTGTGGTTTTTTCCCCTGCACTGAAATTCTGATGATGCAATATTTTGTTATATCGTACTGTAAACAAGTCATTAAATGCACACATTCCTGCTAATGCTTGCTTGTTAGGACCTGCCTGCTGTCTTGACTACAGATTATTAGTTACAACTGGCATTTTGTGTGTTTATTAGGAAAATGATGTAATTACTACAACTTTAATTGTTACACAACAGATGAAACATATACAAACAGTTTTTCAAGGTTCTTTTCTTACGATTCCACTGCCCCCTCCCTCCCAACTGCACCAGGAGGCAGTATCACCCACTTTGGGAACCTATGGAACATAGACTTCATTTTTTTTTCTTTTTTGGTTAGGCAGTGGGGTTAAGTGACTTGCCCAGGGTCACACAAGCTAGTGTTATATGTCTGAGGCTGGATATGACCTCAGATCCTCCTGACTCCAAGGCTGGAGCTCTAACCACTGCACCACCTAGCTGCCCCTGAACACAGACTTTAAATCAGTGCTAGACTGATTCCACAAAGGGGCGAAATACCCCTAGAGTAGATATATAGTACCTTAGCATAGTAAAATATGAGTTCTTTAAGGACAGGGTCTGTTTTTTCCTGTGGTCTTTGCCTCTGTAGCACAGTACACTGAACACAGAGTAGGTGCTTAATAAATGCTTGTGGCCTTAGATTAACTATGAAAGTTTCAATTTCAAAAGCTTTTACTCCAGACAGTGCCACAGAACTGCACCTACAGTGACTGCACTTTGGGGAGACATCAGTCTCACATATATTTTACATACATACACATATTTGTATATAAACATATACATTATACATATACATATATCATATATCCCAGTATACATGTGTATATATGTACATATATAAAATGCATGTGTACACAGACATATACACAAACACACATACACATTTCTCAGTGTCTTCCCAGATGTTGTGGAATTATCTCCCCTGCTCTGACTAGTGAATGAAGTGGTAGATTTGGAGTCAGTGGGAGCTGATTTTGAATTCAATCTCAATGACTAGCTTCTCCATCCTGGACAAAGAACTTAACCTCAGTTTCAGTTTACTTGTTTATAATAAGCCTTTGTTAAACGCCTAATTGGTTCCAGGCACAGGGGATAAACATAAAAGTGAAACAACTCCAACCCTCAAGGGAGCTTACATTCTAAGGGAGGGAGAATTTGTAAAAAGCAAGGCATATACAAAATAACAGTAATAGCCAGGCATATACAAAAATCACAATAGCTCCCATTTCTCTAGCATTTTCAAGATTTGCAAAGTGTTTCATAAAAATGATCTCATTTGATCAGCACAACAACCAAGAGAGGTAGGGGCTATTTATTATCACCAGAGGTAAAGTGAATTGCCTAGGGTCAAACAATCATTAAGTGTGAGAGGCCAGATCTGAACTCAGATCTGACTCCAGCCCCAGCGCTCCCAAGCAGCTAAGGTAAGTACCCTTACTGGAAATCTCCAGCAGTTGACAGGCAGGGTCTAGAAAAACTGACTCTTGATCTGTATCTTAAAAGGAAGCCAGGGAATCCAGGGGGCTGCGGTGGGCAGAGAAGGCATCACAGGCAGAGGGCACGGCCAGTGCTGAGGCTGAGAGGCAGGAAATGAAACGTCAGGAAATAGGTAGGCGCCAGCTACTAAGACAGGTCGAGGGCAGGTTGTTTGGAGGCTAACAATAGCCCCCTACCTCAAAGAATCGTCTTGAGGCTCAAAAGAAGTAACAGGTGCAAAGCGCTCAACCCCCGCCCCCAGGCGCCAAAAAGGCAAGAGGCCATTACTGGGGGTGCTCCGGGAGCCGTCCCGGGCTTCGCGCTCCACGTGTCACGCGTGCGCGTGGGGGGGAGGGGACAAGCGCTTCAAGCGCCCCGGACAAGGACTGAGCGCTGTCCCCGGGCGCAGCCAGCACCGCACCAGAGCTGACCCCGGGGGAGTCCGGAGCGGGAGCCGCGAGGAAGCTCCGGGAGCCGGCGGCCGGGGCGGGGGCGGAGGGAGTGACAGCTGCTCACCTTGAACATGTTGCTGGCCGTAGTGGCGGATCCGGCTTGGGGGTCACCCCAGTTTAACTCCACCCACCACGGAAAGGCCTACTACGGCGGCCGGCCAGGACACTCTTCTTCAGAGAGCTACGCGTACGCGGAAAGCTGCCGGCGACCCGTAGGACAAACTTTATTAATTGTCTGGCTCCAGCCGCCGACACCCATCGGCTATGAGTCGCCAAGAGCAACCGAGAGGAAGGCCTCCTGGGGATTGCTAGGCAGCGGGGGAAACGCGCGCAGGCGCAATAGCCGAGGCTTCTGGCAGTCCGGCCGCAGGGGTCCGGGGGCTGCGGGAGAGCCGGGGCGCTTGCTGTCCAGCGTCTGTCCCAGTCTCCGCCCCGGCGCGGGGTCCAGATGCGGAGGCTGACGGGCGCACGTGGCGGAAGCTGCTCCTCGGGCTGACACCGCAAACGCCTCTGCTTTTTCCCCCGTCGTCGTCAGTTACCACCTCCGAGCCTTTTTTTTGTTGATGCCCCTGGACCTGTTTTCACTATGAAATAAAAACTTCCAGCCCGTCATCTCCCACCTCCGAGCCCTTGCCTCCCACCCCCCCCCCCCGCCGAAGCCCAACCTCTAGCCTGCCTTCATCCATCCCCGAGCTGCTCATGAGTCTCCAGATCCGAGGACCGGACTTCGGAAAGAAAGAAAGAAAGAGAAAAAGAAAAAAATCCAAAAAGCAGACCAATCCGAGATCCCCCCGGTGACGGTCGTGATTGGCAGTGAGGACCCAGAGAGAGGGGCCTGGGACAGGCCCCTTCGCAGTTCAGCCAGGAAATAAGAGGTAAAGCCCGGGGGGCAGGAAACATCCCCTCAAATTGGGGAGCTGCCACGTGGAAGAAGGAAGACCTGAGTTCAGATCCAGCCTCAGACACGAGCTACGCTGTATGATCTTGTAGCAAGTCACTTCGCCTCGGTTTGTTTCGGTTTCCTCATCTGTAAAATGGGGATGATAATAATAGCGTCTTGTTGTGAAGATCAAATGAGATAATAATTGTCAAACGATTAGCTCAATGGCTGGCACATAGTAAGCACTATGTAAATTCTGGCAATTTTTAGCTATTACTATTATTATTACAGATATGATCTCAATTGGTCCTAGAAAGCCTAGGAGGTAAGTGCTATTGTTTATCCCCATTTTACAGATGAGGAAACTGAGGCTGAGAGAGGCCAAGTGACTTGGGGGTTGGGGGAGTGGATCACACACCTGTGAGGCCTTCGAGAAAGTGGGGTTATACTTGTTTTACTTTATCCCCAGGGGAGAACTAGGAGCTATCATAGGTGGAAGGAAGATTCAAAGAAATCATAGAGTTGGAAGGGATCTTGGAGGTCATTTAGTCCAGCCTCTTTGTTTTATTACAGATGAGTTAATTAAGGCCTTTGTAAGTGAATTGACTTGACTTGGCCAAAGTCACATATAACAAAATGGCAGAGCTGGATTATATATAAGGAAATAATAATTTAGGTGGTACAGTAGATAAGAGTGCTGGGTCTGGAGCCAGGAATATCTGAATTTAAATCCTGCCTCAAACACCTAATAATTGTGTAAGGATGGGCAGGTCTCAACCTCTCCCAGCTTGGGTTTGCTCATCTTAAAGCACCTACCTTCCGGGGTTGTTGTGGGAATTAAATGAGATGTTTGTAAAAAGCTTCACGAACCTTAAAGCTCTAAATAAATACTAGTTCTTTTTCTTCTTAATAATAACAATGTAAAAAAACCTTATTAAACACTTCAAGCGGGTGTTCATAACATTTACTGTGTCATGGACCCCACCTTGGCAGTGTGGTGAAGCTTCTGGACTCATTTTCAGAATGTTTTTAAATACGTAGGATAACTAAAGAAACAAGTCATCTCATCACAGAAATATTTTTTTAAAAAACAGGTTCACAGGCCTCAGTGTCTAGTGCTATCATAAAGTGCAATGAGTTATCCCAGGAGCTGGCTAAGGCAGGATGATGACCATTTTCAGATGTGTTGTTGGGATTTTTGTTCAGGTATAGGTTTGTATCAATGGCCTCTGAAGTGCAGATTCTGAAATTCCATAATTCTGTGAAAACTAGAAGTGGAAGTCCATAGTAATCCATTAAAATTTAGGGTGCAAGATTTTCAGAGTTTGCTGGATCATGCCAGTTAACTCTGGAGGTCCCTCCAGTTCTAGGCCTCTTCTCTTCTCCCTGTTATTTCACCTGGTGATCTCCTCAGCTCCCATGATTTCTGTTATCTATGTACATAGGTACATTTTAATCTCAGCTCTGCAAGTGCTTTTTTTTTTTGACAGATAAGTAAACTGAGACTCCAAGAAGTTAAATGACTTTTCCATAGTCACACAGTTATTAAATGTAATCAAACTTGATCATACCACTAGAAAGTGCTTCAACCTGGAACATAGACCTAGATCTTCTGATACTCCAGTCTGGGGCGCTTTCCACCAAATCATGTCACAGTCATAGAATGTTAGGGCTGGAAAGGCTCTTAAAGCTCATTAATCTAAGCCTTTCATTTTTACAAATAAAGAACCTGAAGAACAGATAGAGTAAGTGACTTGTCCAAGGGACACACCGCTAGTTAAAAATTAACTTGGGACTATAGAATCCAGATTCTCTAATTCCTAATCTAGTGGTTTTATTAATAACATAGTTATCTATTTTATGAAATTTTGTAAACTTAATAGCATCCTTAAAAAATCTTTGCTTTTTAAGGGTTTTGAAATTAGCATTATAATCAATATTTCACACAAGGTATCTTGACTAGAGTTCAAACAATATAATATGATGGAAATTATGTTAATTTTCTTTGCTTTCAGATTTCTTCACTGTCAAAAATGTCATCTTTAAGATCATCAGAGCTGGATGGAGACTCAGATGATTCACAATTAGCAGCTAAATTTTGGGAAGTAAAATTGCCAGATGTTGTACCACTAGATGACCTTAAAGCGTAAGCACTCAGTTGTTGAATATGTATGAATTTTGGTATTTGTACCAGTTTCTTTGTGTCATTATCCCAGATGACACAAAGTAGTTTTAAGATCTCTTGTTTATGGATCATATATTTGTTTTTAAATTAATTTTGAATTACTTTGAACTGCAGCTTTTGTGTCCAGATCCATGAGACTTAAAATAATAACTCCATATCCTGTATTTTTCTCATATACAGTAAGACTATGCAACTTGATTCACATATTTACCAGGTACTTTCTATATACAGGACACTGTGGTAGGGGAGATTTAAAAAAATAAATTTGACACTTCTTGATCACATAGAACTCTCAGTTTCCTGCTAGGATCATGACTCATGCACAAAGAACAGTCTGGCAGTCACATTTATTATGATTGTGGCAAGAACCAGGGATACGAGGATGTCATGTTGGTCCTTACCCTCAAGAAGCTCACATTATAATGGAGGAGATGGCATATAAATGGGTACATACAAGATTTATACAGAGTAGATGAAAGGTAATTTCAGAGGGGGAGGCAATAACTGGAGTGAGTTGGGGGGGGGATATAGTCAATGAAGGCCTCTTGCCAAAGGTGAGATTCAAGGAGCAGCTAGGTGGCACAGAGAATAGAGCACCGGCCCTGAATTCAGGAGGACCTGAGTTCAAATGTGGCCTCAGACCTAACACTTGACACTTAATAGCTGTGTGACCCTGGGCAAGTCACTTAACCCCAATTGCCTAAAACAAAAACAAAAAACAAAGGTGAGATTCAAACTGAGTCTTGAAGGAAGTCAGGTAAATAAGAGACAACAACGAGAAGGAAAAGCGCAGCAAATGGAGACAGCCAGGGCAAAGGCACTGAGATGGTGATGGAGGGTTGTGTGTGAGAAACATCAGCTTGGCCACTACATCTGGATCATGGGGAGGAATAGTGTAAGAAGAGTTTGAAATGGTATCAGAGGACTTTATATTTGATCCCGGAGATAATAGAGAGTAACTAGCACTTACTTTTAGTAGTGGAATGACATAGTCAAAACTGTGCTTTAAATAAACTACTTTGGCAGCTGAGTAAAGGATGTATTGGAGTGGTAGGTAAGGAGATCAATTAGATGGCTTTTGCAATAGACTGGGCAAGAGGTGATGAGAGCCTGAACGAGGGAGGGGGCTATGTGAGTAGAAAGAAGGGGATATGATATATGCAAGAAGTGTTGTGAAGGCAGAAATGATAAGATAGGGCAATGGATTGTTTATTTGGGGTGAGAGATGAGTCATTCCTTTGACACTTTGGTATCATAGATGACCCCAAAAATACAGTCCTGGGTGACTTGGAGGATAGTAACTCTCAACAGTAACAAAGTTTGAGAGGTGGAGCCAAGATGGCAGATTAGCAGGAAGAAGTACAAGTTCTTTCCCAGCTTCCAGATCCTCCAGAGACACCTAGAAAATGCACTACACCAAGTCCTGATGGGGAAATTCAGGAAAGCAACACAGTGAGTCATTTTCTCCATCCCAGACTGGCATAGGGAGAGAAACTGAGAGATTGTGAACATGGAAGATGGCATCTCTAGATACCATCTAGAGAGATGGGACCATCCTACATAGAGGGCTCCAGCACAGGTCATAGGGTGAGAAGAGGTCTTAGGTCACACGGAGGGCACCTAGTGCATGAACAGGTGCCAGCTGACAGTTTTTGTCATCCTGGGTCACAGATCCAGGGCAGACTGAGGAAAGGACCTGTGTTCGAGGGTGAAGAACAGTTACAGATCTCAGTAGCATCCTAAACAAAGAGGATGTTCAGAAGCAAGCCGTAGCAGTGTAGTTTAGATTCCAGAAGCAGAGTGGGGTCTCAATTCCAGCTTTCAGCCCAACCAGAAGCTTGCAAGGAATAACCAGGGCAGGAATACCAAACCAGAGGGGAAGCTTGTAGTTCTGTCTCTCTGAACCATAAGTTCTTTCAAGCTGGCTGAAAATGGCTGAGTCTAACAGCAGTTTAATGTTGCTCAGATTCAACCTAGGTAAGGAACTTGCAGAGCTTAGACCAAGGGACCAGTGATCAGACTGTCCTAGATCAGAAAACTTTGAGAGCTCTGAAAGAAAAAAGAAAACTGAAAGCTTGCAGGTTCCTAGGCCCTTTCTCCCTGAGAGCCTGGAGTAACACAACATTCAGTACCCGACTCCCCACCCGTCCAAGAAAGTAGCAGCAGGACCAGTTCAAACCTTCCTGCCAGAAGTGCATAGAACTAAACCCAGCAAAGTCTGAAGTCAAAAATTAGGCTAGAAGAATAAACAAGCAAAAAAAGAATCTCACCATAAAAAGCTCTTTTGGCTACAGGGACACTCAAGACACAAACCCAAAAGAAGAAAATGACTCCGAAACTTCTACAAGCAAAGCCTCAAATAAAAATAACAGCTTGGGCACAAATTCAACTAGAATTCCTAGAAGCTATGATGCAAGAGTTTAAAAATTTTTTTAAATGTTTTAAAATTTTTTAATGAAATGAGAACATAGGTGGGAAATTGAAACATGCAGAAAAGCAGAAATATTACATATGCCATTTTCTGACCAATAAAAATTATATTCATTAAGTGTCCTTTGAAGCACAGATTAAAAATCAGTTGCATACTAAATAACCTAATCCTAAAAATTGGTAGAATAGAAAACAAATCATAAAAACAATAATTTCATTAAAGATAAAGACAGCAGTGAAATGACATACCAAAATTTGTGTGATGTAGTCAAAACAGTACTGAGGGGAAATTTTATGTCTATAACTTTCATCAATTAAAGAGAGGAATTGGTCATGCAACTAAAAAATCTAGAAAACCAACAAATATAACAGCCCCTGAAAACAGAAATCCTGAAAATCAATGGAAAGATTAACTATATTTAAATTTTAAAAGCCACTATTAAGTAAAAGTAGGAGTTGTATGAAAAAACCTAATAACAGATAAGTCATTGGCTAATTTGGTTTTTTAAAAAGAATACCAAATTACTGGCATCAAAAATGAAAAAGATGAATTTACCACCAATAGAAATGAAATAAAAGTAATTATTTGGAACTCTTTTGCCCAAATCTATACTAATAAAACTGACAAATTTTAATTAAATGGATGATTATATAAAAATATAAATTGTCCAGATTAACAGAACAGAAATTAGTGTATTTAAATAGCCATATTTTAGAAAAAGAAATTAAATAAAGTTAACTCCCTAAGGGGAAAAAAAACCCCAGAACTAGATGGATATTACAAGTGAATTCTACCAAATATTTAAAGAATCACTAATTCTAATACTACATAGACTGTTTGAAAAAAATAATTAAATAAGGAATCCTGTCAACTTACTTCTACGATAGAAATATGGTCTTGATACCTAAACCAGGGAAAGTCAAAACAGAAAAAGAAATCTGTAGACCAATTTCTGTAATAAATATTGATGCAAAATTTTTAAATAAGATACTAGCAAGTAAATTATAGTAATACATCACAAAGACTATACACTGTAATCAGGCTGGATTTATACCAGAATGTAGGGCTGGTTCACTATTAGGAAAACTGTAAGCATAATTGACATATTAACAAGAAAAAATTTACATGATTATTTCAATAGATGCAGAAGAAGATTTTGACAAAATACAACACATATTCCTGTTAAAAAATATTATAAAGCATGGGAATAAATGGAGCTTTTCTTAAAATAATAAGTAGTATCTATCTAAAACCAAGAGCATTATCTACAATTGGGATAAACTAGATATCTTCCCAAAAGATCTGGAGTGAAGCAAGAATGTCTGTTAAGACCATTACTATTCAGAACTATACTAGAAATGCTACCTATAGCAGTAAGACAAGAAAAAGAAATTGAAGGAATAAGCATAAGCAAAAAGGAAACAACTATCACTTTTTGCAGATAATGTAACGGTATACATAGAGAACTCTGGAGATCTAACTATAAAACTAGTTGAAACAACAACTTTAGCAAAGTTGTAGGATGTAAAATAAATCCACACAAATCATCAACATTTCTATGTATTACTACCCCCCTCAACAACAACAACAACAAAAAACCAGCAGGAAGATATAGAAAGAAAAATTCCATTTAAAATAACTGCAAACAGTATAAAATACTTGTGAACTTACTTACCAAGATATACATAGGAGCTATATATATGAACACAAAGCACCTTTCACACAAAGACAGATCTAAATAATTGGAGAAACATTAATTGCTCGTGGATAGGCAGAGCCAATATAATAAAAATAACTACTAAATTAATTTAATTATTTATTTTCATATCAATCTACCAAAGAATTACTTGGTAGAGCTAGAAAAAAATAATAACAGTTCATCTGGAGGAATGAAAGGTCAAGAATATCAAGGGAATCAATGAGGGGAAAAAAGGAAGGAAGGAGGGCAAGCGGAACTAGATCTCAAACTGTATTACCAAGCAGTAATCATCAAAATAATATGGTAGTGGATAAGACTTAGGGTGGTTGACCAATGGACTAGATTAAGGACACAATATAGAAAAGCAAATAACTACAATAGCCTAGTGTTTGTTAGACCCAAATATCTCAGCTGTTGGGACAAGAACTTACTATTTGACAAAAACTGCTGGGAAAACTAGTAAGAACTCTGGCAGAAACTAGACCTAACAGACCAGCATCTTACACCACACACCAAGATAAACTCAAAATGGGTACATGATTTAGACATAAAGGGTGATATCATAAACAAATTAAGGGAATATGGAAGAAATTGTCCGTCAGATCTATGGATGGGGAAAGAGTTCATTACCAAACAAAAGGTAGAAAGATTTGTGGGAAGTAAAGTGGATAGTTTTGATTTTATAAAATTAAACTGTTTTTGCACAAACAAAATCAATGCAGCCAAAATTAGAAGCAAGAAACCAGAGGGAAAAAAATTAAAGCAATTATCTGATAAAGGTCTCATTTCTCAAATATATAGACAACTAAGCCAGATTTATAAAATAGGGAG